GTGCAGACAGCGCCCCTGGCAAAGGCATGGGGATGAAGTGGGCAACTTTGGTTTCCCTTGAAAAAGCTAGCGTGTGTACTGTCAGAAAGGTACACAACCATGGGGAGGCTCCATTTGGTGACGCCAGGCACACCCCTTCACAGCCTTCCTTTTTGTGGGCTCGCAGCTCACATTGGTCTTTGGTGTCCCAACCTCAGCCTGGCTCATGCGACATGCTTGCATCACTTGCCTTTTTTTGTTGGCACATGGTTGACGTGGTTTGAGCACCTTTAGCTAACTGCAGCCGCTGGAATGACTCGTCACGCCGCACTGGCGCCAGCCGTCCAGCTGAGCCAAAATTGACGCCAGTGCTGTGGCTGATCACTTGGGCAGTCATGCAATGTTGGCATGCTTGGCCCGACAGTCAGCACACAGTCGTGAAAACGGCAGTGTCTTCATTTGCAGTCAAACCCGCTTTGTCACAGAACAGGAACATGAGTGTGTTCTGCATTGCCTAGCAAGCCCTCACAGCAGGCACACCATCTGAATACAGCACAACGCCACAGAAAACTTAGGCGCGATTGAGACATTCCCCTTCCAGGCAGCACGACATCGACAAACAACATCCCTTTGAAGCAACACATGGTACCCCAAAACAGCGCACACTCACAGAATGCGCATCAGGGTGGAGAGATCCGTATTTCCTGTTTCCGGTTTGAACTTGAATCCGAACAGAGCCAAAAGAGAGGCTGCAAAAGCGTGGGAGGTGCCAGCAGATAGGCCAAGTCTCGGAAAAGCTAGAAGCCGAGGGTCTGGCGATCCGCCCGCAGCAACGGAAGGCAGCGGGAAGGTCGAATTGAAGTTCCATCTAGGTAAATGTTTCGCATCTCTTGGGCCAGGGGAACATATTGGGAAATGTCCGAGTATGGGAACTGCCAGCCCTGAAAGCGCCCCAAAAGAACGCCTGCAACGGCGCTGGTAGATTTCATTTGTCCCAATCGATGCGTACAAACGCCGAGGTTCTGAATTTGATCGTCGCAGGCTCGGGAGTGCATTTTGTGCGTCCCCTACAGCTGTGTGACCTTGAACCGATTGCGTCTGGCAGTCGTAGTCGACACCTTTGCGGAAGCGAGAGCTCATGACGTGTTGAACCTAGCGGAGGACCGGTTTCGGCTCAAAGAATCCAGGGTGTAACATGGTGTAACAAAGAATGTTGCAGAGGTCGGGGTGTTGCAAGGGTTCAGCACAAGGTTCGGCCACGAATGACTGTGTGGATCGGTGCATGTTCCACTCACGAAGGAGCTGGAACAGGACATGAAGCTTGACAAAATCAGTCTACGGCAACTTGGCACAAAGATAGTTTGCTCTCGCAGTCGCAGGGGATGATGACAATGACCCTGCGGCTGATGATGATGCTGATGATGATGATGACGATGACGATGACAATGACTGACCATGATGATAGGTTAATGGAATTAGAACAAAGTCAGAATGACACTGTGCTTACAGCCTTCAGCACAGACATTTGCCAACCTTGGTAATTATGGAGGAACGGACAGTGGACAGCTTTCCGTTGCTCGCCATTGGCAGCCTTTTACTACCAGCTGCGTTCTGGTGTGTGTGTGTGCGAGAGAGAGAGAGAGAGAGCGCGCAAGACGCTATTAATATGGCTGTGGGTCACCGCAATAAATGGAACCAAAGACTAAATCCTGCGGTACCCATACCCATATTAACCCATACCCTTATGGATGTGGAGCCCAGCCACCGAAGAGGCATTGGTGCGATTGCCAGGAAGATCTTTGACAGGATCGATGAGGATGGTAGAGCCTTGGCGTTTACCAAGCAGCCTTGGAGCATGCTCATGCATTCTTCACGTTTGCGTCCGCTGTGCAACATTCCAAGGCGGAACTGTTACGATTGACGAGCTTATCGACGGAGCCCGGAAGGAACCTTTGCATCAGCAGCTAGTTGTTTGTCAAATCATCTCTGTGACACAGAAGTAGCTGCAGCACGGAGCTCGTGCCAAGGATCCGGAGTTCCAAAGCAGGTTACAAGTTATGGATATCGATGAGGCCCCGGAGAAGCCACGAAGTCCCAGAAGCCACGCTATCCATGGCACTCCATGGTTAGGAGGCAAAAACAAACGGATACCCTCTATCCGACTAACATGGCAGCTGAATGGGGATCCCTCCAAGTTGATTCATCTTTGTTCAGAAATCACGTTCGCCATATGCAGAGACATGCCAGGCATCGAATGGATGTTTGGCGAGGCGTGTGCCAGAAGCATTCCCCCAACTCTGGAGGCCCAGATGTTCCCAAGCCGTTCTGTGTTTCTGCTTCTGAGGCGTGAATTGATTGTGTTGATTCGACTCGCGTTGCCATGTCCCTTCTTTGGTTTTCATCAAGGAAGAAGTGCAAGCCGCCACGGGACCGCACGCGCAAACCCGCGCGCATGTCTCGCCGGCTGCCCCACAACCCTTCCCCTCCTCCGGTATTTCTAGTTCCTAGTTCCATACAGAGC